GGCGCAGGGTAGCAGGAAGCTCTCCACACACTCACCTGACCTGGGCTAGGACTGGGTCTGGGGGTTCCCGGAAGTCCACAAGATGCATTTTAACTTTTCCTCTTTATTTACAACTCCTCAGACACTAAGAAAACTAGCTCTATTCTTCCACAATAGATTGATTGATCTGATCAATGTAGCATCAATGACATGGGCTTCCCTTTTCCCCATAATTAGATCCACTTCACGCATTTTTTCAGGAATACTGAAAAATACTGAATACTGTGGATTTATTCACAAGGCTGCAGAATTGGTGCATGGTTCCTTTCCTCTTTTGCCTAATAGCAAAACTATTTGAAATATTGATTTCCAAATTTGCTTATGAGGGGCTGGGGAGATGGCTCAGTGGAATAAGCGCTTCCTTGGCAAGCACAAGGGCCTGAGTTCAATCCCTGGTTCTGCCAAATAAATAAATAAAACAAAGTCGCTTACGTGGGTTAGTGCCTAACCTTCTCCCTCCACTGTGGTTAAATATTAATTTGTAATACAATCATGTGGGTTCTGGTTTGTGTTCCACTTTAAGTTTCCCCATACTCAGACAGATTTTAGTGATTTTTTTCATTTCTGAAACATTGCTGCGGTTCTGAAAAGCCAGAGATGTGTAGACATAGCCAAAAAAAAGTGTTCTTCCTGTCATCTCAAGTGCCTCAGCCCTCTGTTATTTGTACCCTGTTCTCACATTCTCCCTGTACACGTTGACAATTTCATTATTTGCTAATTTATCCTCCCAGTATTTTCTTGGCACAAATGAGAAAATGAGTTTATGTTTTCTTAAATGTCCTTATTTCTTGCACTGACCAGCAGGCCTCGGCCTGACTCATCACTGCTCCATAGTGATTTAGGGGCAAAGAGAATACCAATGAATCTGCTCAATTTCCCCACCCATAAAAAGAGGATGACAGTTGTAGGGTTGTTGTAAGGATGGAATGGCTCAGAACCCAGGGTGAGATAGGCATGGAAAGCCAGGCAAAGGGCTCATGGAGAGATATTGCAGGGCAATGCTGAGGCCACCTCTTGACTGGTCGGAATGGCCTGTGCTGGGTTCAGCTGCTTGGTTCCCCAGTTCTGGAAGTGTCTGAGCAGAGGCCAGATGATCCACCCCCAGCAGGACAGGAGGAAAGACTCAGCCTCAGCCACCCTCACTTAGACACTCAGGGGTCCTAACTGTCAGTGAGTGGGCACATTTCCCTCCCTGGTGACCTCTGTCATTGCAGGGTGGCCCTTCGACAATGCCACGTGCAAGATGAGCGGCTTGGTGCAAGGCATGTCTGTGTCGGCTTCTGTGTTCACACTGGTAGCCATCGCCGTAGAAAGGTGAGAGATTTCTAGGAACTACTGGGGTGGGCACCAAGGGGTGCCACTGTGTCCAGTGCTGGGCTGGCTGGGAGGCTGGGGCCATGGTGTGATAGGTGGGACTGAATGCTCATCTCTAACATGGAGGCTGTGGTGCTAAGTGCCCTCTGGACTTCTGGGGATACAAGGACCTCCTCCCTGTTGCAGGTCTGGGGGTAGCTCCTGAGGAGATTCCATAGCATTCCTGGAGGTCCTGGAGGAGCTAGGGTGCAGTCCTAGTTCTGAGTGGCAGAAATCCTGCTTCCTGTAACATCGGAGCCAAGACAGCCAGGGCAGGAGGGCAGCTTGGGAGGGCGTCTCCTCCCAGCTTCTTCATCCTCACCTGCAGCCTGCTTGCTGGGCCTGGAAGTCCTGGCTTTTTCTCAACCCCTACTTGACCTTCCTCGGCCAGTTCTGATCTTTCAGTGTCAGGGGCCAGCAGATTCTCTGCTAAACATGTTACAGGAGGCCACAGATGAGGGACTGAACTGAGCTGGGGCCAAGGAGGCTTGAGCCAACTCCATTGTCCTTAGCGCTCTGCACTGGGCTGTTCATGGGCCTCTCTCGGCTCAGCATCTCCAGTGCCGAGGCAGTTCCTGCTGGCGCTCTCGCAGGGGACCGGAAGCAGGCTGAGCAGTCCAAGGTAGTTTTTGTTCTCAACGTTGCCTCACTGTAGAATGTTGAGTGAGTCACTTAGCTATTCTGAACCTCTTTTCTATACATGGAAGACACTGTCTAAGGGCTGGAGACTTCTGAGAACTTCTGCCTATGTGGCTTACATGGAGGGCCTGGCGCAGAGTCTGAGCGCCACTGACAGCATTGTTTGATTTCTTCCATATCTGCTTCCTTGTTTCCTTTTCAAATGAGCATGGCTCAGTCCTGCCCTTTCTTGAGTCTAGTGTTCCCATTTTCTCCCCACCTCTGCCAACACCAAACCTAGTTTGTTGTGGCCCAAGGAAATAGGCAGGTGGCATGAGGAAGCAAGTTTCCTTTTCCGCAAAGAACTGGCCAACTGGGTGATTGTGGAATGTCCTCCCCCCAAACTTTGTTTTGTTATGGTTGCTGAGTCCTAGGTGAGTGCAACCTCTTCCAGAAGTGTCTGGGGTATTCCCTAAGTGCCACCCTTTCCAGGAAGCCCTCCTGGACCACTCTGCAGTTCTCTTCACCTATGGACAACTATTGCATTCATAGACAGGGCTGCGTGCTTTCAGAATGAGCTGTTTTCTGGAAATGTCTTGAGTATGCAATGCTATAAAGCCAAGGAGGTTGAGGTCACAGAGGCTGAAGTAGCAAGTCCTGAGTCAGGCTGAGGGAAAGGGGGAGGGTGCTGCCAGGGTAGAAAACAGGGGAGCAGGAGGGCGGAGCCCAGGCCAGTGAGTGGAAAGACTACGCTGGAAGCCAGCCTGATACCTATGTTCTTGCACAGGTTCTGCTGTAAGGAGCCATGTAACTTTGTAAGAAAGTCCCATCCCCTCTCTCAGCCAATTTCCCCTTCCATTGAGTAGGTTTGACCATCTGGACCTTACTTGTCTGGGTTTTTGGTTTGTTTGTTTTTGGTTTTTTTTGAGAAAAAAATCTTACTATGTAGTCCAGATTGGCCTTGAACTTGGAGTGATACTCCTGCCTCAGCCTCTCAAATCCTGGGAGTACTGGCAGGCACTGCCGCACCTATCAGGTGTCTGCTTTATAAAAGATTTTAAGGATCGGCCAAATAACTCAGTGGATTAAAGTGCCTGCAAGGACTGGGGGTTCGATCCTTGGGCCTGCTGTGTGCCACTACACCCCCCCACACACACTGATTAAGACTGGCCGTGGTGGCCACCCCTGTAATTCCAGCTCTTGGGAGGCTGTAAACAGGCGGATCACTACGAGTCTGATCTAGTAGTGAGACTCTGAACACCCTGTAGATCCTTCCCTAAAATAAAGAAAATAAATTAGTACATGTTTGCAGGGCATACTGACTACATTTATCATGGGAAGCTGGAACATGTACATAACACATCTTAATTTCTTTTTTACTTCCTCTTCCCCTTCAGGTGTCTGTTTTTTGGCATCTGTAGACCAGGGGAGACTTTCTAAGCAATAGGAGCCCCTGCTTTTTCTCACTACTAAGCATCCAAACTGTCCACAGGTTGTTGCCATCTCACTTCCTCTTCACAGGAGCCCTACAGAGCAGGCCATATTAGTGGACTTATTTTACAGACAAAGGATACTGAGGGTTAGAAAGGGTTCAAGTAATTGGCCCTTCAGTTGTTCCTTCGTACAGTCATCTAAACACTCCTAAGAATGATGAGAGGGAAAGTCCCAGCCCCTGCACTGGAGACCAGTTGAGCAATGGCCTCTGAACCACGCTGCAGGGTGTAGATATCCACTTCCTCCACCTCTAGCCAAAGTTCACAACCCTAGCTGCACACAAGAATCGCCCCAAGAGCTTTCAAAGAAAAGCAACCCTAAAGCCCCTAACTAGACTGCTTTGTAATTCTCTCTTTCTTTTTTTGGCAGAACCAGGGATTGAACTTGCCAGGGAAGCGCTTATTTCACTGAGCCATCTCTCTGGCTCCTTCTTTGTAATTCTTGCCCAAACAAATAAGCACAGGTTTTTTGTTGTTGTTGTTGTTTGTTTTTTAAACTGCTTTGGGAGATTCTAACACAAGGCAAGGCTTCACAGCTACTGCCCTATGTGACACAAGGATTTTTTTTTTTTTTTTTTTTTTTAATGGCTCAGGATGCCTAAAGGGCAGGTGTGGAAAGGCATGAAGATCTGGGGATCGAACCACAGTATCCTGAGCCTGACTGCCTTTTGCCCTGTGTGACACAGCAGAGCACGGTCTAGAGTCAAAGTCTAGCCTCTCACTGCTTTCCCCTCTGAGACCCAGTTTTCTCTCGGTAAATAAGGGGTGAAATAGTGATTGCTGCTGAGAGGTTCTAACAAAGAACTGTGCAGTGCAGACCGGGCCTCACACAGTGGAGATGGGGGCGGGGGGGGGGCGGCGGCACAGGTGCAGCCACACCTAAGCTCCAGGGGTTTTCTGGGAAAGCCTTAAACAGCTACCATGGTTGGTGAAACACTCCCTCAGCCTTCTCCAGGACAGAGCGCCCACCACTGGTTGCTGCCAGCTCTCAGTTTACCCCAGAAGCAGGCAGGCAGGATTCAGCATCCCCAATCTCTGGTTTCCTCGTCCCCTCTGCCAATGCTGCTGCTGGAGGGCCTAGCAGGGTGAGCTGCCTCCCTACCAGGTGAGAAACCAATCTGCTTGCAGACTCACTTAATGAGTATCTGAGCATCTGACTTGGCTGGAGGTGCCACAGGGACTGTCAAAGGTCCTCATCCCATCAGCCCTCCCGAGGGTGGCCTTCCTCCGCCCCGAGCCAGCAAACCTACCACACCCCCGCCTCTCTCCCCCTGTTCAACAGGTTCCGCTGCATCGTGCACCCTTTCCGGGAGAAGCTGACCCTGCGGAAGGCGCTGGTTACCATCGCAGTCATATGGGCCCTGGCGCTGCTCATCATGTGTCCCTCGGCAGTCACGCTGACCGTGACGCGCGAGGAACACCACTTCATGGTGGACGCGAGCAACCGCTCCTATCCTCTCTACTCGTGCTGGGAGGCCTGGCCCGAGAAGGGCATGCGCAAGGTCTACACCGCCGCGCTCTTCGCACACATCTACCTGGCACCGCTGGCGCTCATCGTGGTCATGTACGCCCGCATTGCGCGCAAGCTCTGCAAGGCCGCGGGCCCGGCTAGCGACGGCGAGGAGGCGGCCACTGAGGGCAGGCGGGCGTCGCGGCGCAAGGCGCGCGTGGTGCACATGCTGGTCATGGTGGCGCTGTTCTTCACGCTGTCCTGGCTGCCACTCTGGGCGCTGCTGCTGCTCGTGGACTACGCTCAGCTCAGCGAGCCACAGCTGCACCTGCTGTCCGTCTACGCCTTCCCCCTGGCGCACTGGCTGGCCTTCTTCCACAGCAGCGCCAACCCCATCATCTACGGCTACTTCAATGAGAACTTCCGCCGCGGCTTCCAGGCCGCCTTCCGCGCCCAGCTCTGCGTGTTGCCCTGCGGCGGGCACCACGGAGCTGCCTACTCCGAGCGGCCTGCCGGGCTCCTGCGCAGGCGGGTCTTGGTGGAGGTTCAGCCCAGCGACTCGGGCCTGCCCTCAGAGTCGGGCACCAGCAGTGGGGCCCCCAGACCGGGCCGCTTCCCACTGCGCAACGGGCGGGTGGCCCACCAGGGCTTACCTGGGGAGAGGCCGGGCTGCTCCCCTCTGCCCCCTACCATGCCAGCCTGGAGCGTCTGAGGTTTTCCCTGCTGCACATGTGAGCCCTGCACCGGGCTGCAAGTTGGCCTGCAGTTAGAAGAGGGGACAGGATGCTTCTTGGTCACACAGGCAGGATGGGCTGATTCATTCTCACCAGAGAGAGGCTGGTGAGGGAAGAGGCGAGAACCAAGCTCCCCCAGACTCTTCTGTGTGGTGGAGCTGACAGCCATCATCTCGCTGGATCCTCACAAGGCTTTGCAAATGGGTTTTATAGAAGTTTTTTGTACAGAGGATTGAACCCAGGACCCTTACATTGAGCTGCATCTTCAGCCCTCTCAGGTCCTTTTAAAGTTGGAGGCAGGGTCTCACTAAGGCAGTCACTAAGTTGCCAGAGCTGGGCCCAAATTTAGATGCCCCTGCTTCAGCCTCCCAGAGTGCTGAGCTTCCAGGGGTGGGCCACCACTTTGCAAATGAGCTTTCTTCTCACCTTCTACAAACGCAGAACCGAAGACTCCTGAGAGAAGAGATGACTAGCCCAAAGTCTTGCAGATGGAGATTTCAAAGTCCTTGCTGTCTGGAAAAGTGGTGAAATGTATAGATGGTAATGGGGCAGCAGAGAAACAGGAAGGAACGCTCACCTGTGGCTTGATGCTGTGAGCCTGTATGTTGGGGTACCCCTCTGTACTGTAGCTGAAACCACTGCCCTGGCCCTTCCCTAAGAAAATACTCTGTGCACCTCCCATCAGCTATAATGTGTGAGTCTGTTCCAGGTCATTGTCTACGAGCACGACTTATTCTACTCTAAGCTTTGGGTATAAGGACTGAAGAAAATACATGGCCACTCTACTGTCTGAATATGTCCCAGACACTGTGTCATTTGATTCATACAAGGTGAGGGTGAAGATGTTGTTACTGCCATCTCCACAAGAAATAGAGGTTCCAAATGGCCAAGGTCACAGGACCACAGAGGAGCAGGATTTGGATTCCAACCAGGCTTCTGCTCAGTCTTCGCACACTGCATCCTGCCTTTCAGGGAAGGTAGGCACTGCAGGGGAGGGGCGCTGGAAATTCCCCAAGGGTTTTCTGCCTAGCAGTGAACCCAAAAGTCAGAATCGTGGTAACCAAGCTCTTGGGCAAGGAAATGAGAATCTATTGTGTTTGCTCTTGTAATTTCCGGCCCGAGCTAGCTGTGTGTGATGTTTGTACCCTTGTCCTGAGCAGGCTGCCAAGGTTTCTCAGGATATTGGCCCAGCAGTCTGAGAGGGATGGATGAGGGTCTCAGGGCAGGGTGTGTCACCCTGCCTATGAGTGACCATGCATGACCCTCTTCTCTGGTGCTGGAACAGTATCCTGATCCACATAGGCCTGAGTGTGGCTGGATGTTTATTTAGGAATCCTGAGTCTAGACGCTAAAAATAGGCCCAAGGGCCATTTCAGACCCCAAATGTCTGTCCCTGTGCCTGGGAGCTGTCTTGGATTAGCCCTCATCTCCCCCGAGAGGTTTCTTCTCCTTTAGCCCAGAATCACAACCTGTACAGGGGGAGCGTGAGAGGGGACTGAGATACCCTGCAAATAATCTTTCCACCACGATGCCCTTGCTGTATTAACCCCCAAAGATGCCAGGCCCACAGAGGTTGTGACTGCCATAAACCCACGAAACTCACCATTCATAGATGTTGCTGCTATTTTTACTTCTTTAAAAAAAACCGGAGGCCATACCTGCCTGTTCCAAGACTGATTTGAAGAGTAACAGATAAGACTTGATGCCGGCAGGCCTGGAGGGGGTGTGGGGAGCTTGTTCTTTGTGTATGTGATAATATACATGCAACAGAAGTGTTGTGTAACCAGTACACTACCCATTCCCAGAACATTTCAATCTCAAATTGCCACTCCGCACCCACTGAAGAGTAACTCCCCACTCCCCTTCCTCCCAGCCCCAAGTTACCATCATTCTATTTACTGCCTCTGAGTTTGGACTCTCTAGGTACCTCAAAAAAGTGGAATTGTATTTAGTCCTTTGTGACTGTTCTTTCACTTAGCATAGTGGTATCAAGGTTCAGCCATGTTGCAGCCTGTATTGGAATTCCCTTCCTTTTTTAAAAAGGCTGAATAGTATTCCATTGCACACGTACTCCATCTTTCGTCTATCCATTTGTCCTTCAGTGGGCATCTGCTTAGTTTCTACCTTTTGGCTATGGTGAACAATGTGTGGCACTTCAAGATTTCTCCAACTTGGCATGTGTGGGTGACAGAGCAGAGGCTCCAAGGACAGCTGGGATCTGTCTGATGCTCTGTCTGCCTCAGCTTCTCAGCCTCCTCCCACCGGGCTTAGCTTCTTGTCTAGAGCAGCTAAAACCTGTACCCTCCACCCACAAGGTACTTTTATGAAGCTGTTTTCATCATTATAGCTTTATTATGCCCACTGGATTCCTCTGGCCTAATATTTAGGCCTTGTCGGGAGTCTCATACAACCATGACCCTCAAGGATAGACCATGCGGCTTTTCCTAATGTGCCATCCTCCGCCTCTGGCTATGTTGGGTCTCCCAAGGTGACTGTCCTCTCACGGTCAGAGAGTTTGGGGATGAACTGAGAGTGTGATGGTGGAAGGGCCAGAGGCCTGTTGACACTGAGCGTCTCCACCCCAGAGGACTCTTGGAGGGACTCCGTGTCCTGCGGTGCAGTGCGCAACAAGAGCTTCCATTCTCATTGCGGGTCTCTGGATGAATGGGCTCTTGACTTCCTCAAGATGGTGCGAAACTCAGCTGACCAATGTGAGCTGGAGGCAGGGGCCGCCAGGGCCACAAACCACAGTCTGCCCAGCCCTGGACTGCGGACTTTCACCTGGGCCCCGGAGGACGCATGAGTTGACTTCAGTTGGAATGGAGGACAGAGCTGGCAGAGGTGGACCAGAGCCCCCTATCATTAGCCTACTGTGTATTCATCCCAAAATCCGGATGAGAGCCAAGCCCAGGGCTGCAGGGACACAGCATAGCTATTAAGCTCTGTACCTTTCTGCATCCATTTCCTCAGCTCACCCCTCTGAAGTGCCACTGAGGAAAGATCGATGAGGAAAAGGTGACCAAGTAGGCTTCATTACAAGTAACAGACACTGCCTCAAAATAGATGCCCTATTGAATGACCCAATTACTCTTGGGTTTTTTTCTCTGTGTACAAAAGCACTACCTAATCATTGTGGAAATTTTACAAAGTTTAGATAAGACAAAAAAGTTAAGAGCTGGCCAGATAGCTCTGCTGACTAAAATGCCTGCTTAGGCAAAGTGCAGCGGCCGGGGTTCAATCACCGGTATGCAGTGCCAGCCCCGCCCCTGGGGTGCATTGAGATATTGATTGAGCCTGGGAGAGGTGGTGCATGCCTGTAATTCCAATGCTTGGGAGGCTGAAAACAGGAGAATCTCTGAGTCCAGATCTATGTAGTGAGACCCTGTAGACCCTGTAGACCCTGTACTAAATACACACATGCACACAAAAGTTAAAAGCACCCAAATCCCATTACGAGATATAGTCACTTCGTTTATGCACATATACTTGAGATTTTTGTAACAGCGTTACTAAGGCAATTTATTTATAAAATTCACAAGTTTTAGCAGCTGTGTACATTGCATAGCCACCATGACACTCAAAATATTCCCATCCCAAAAAGTTCCCTTGGATCGGGGCCGGGGAGATGGCCCAGTGGAATAAGTGCTTCCCTGGCAAGCGCAAGGACCTGAGTTCAATCCCCAGTTCCACCAAAAAAAAAAAAAAAAAAAAAAAAGTTCTCTTGGATCAGTTTATAGTTAATCCTTTCTCCCCACTATCCCAGAAAGCCATTGTCTGATTTCAGAATGCTGTGTATGTAAACCCAGACACTGGATAGCCTTTTGATTTTTGCTTCTTTTCACTCAACAGTGTTTTTGAGGTTCACTCAAATTGTAAGATTTATCAATCCATTCTTTTTATTGCTGAGTAGTATTCCATTGTATGAGTGTATGTAAATACATTTTGTTTATCTATTCATCAGTTGGTACTCATTGGGATGTTACCAATTTTTGACTCTTGAATAATGCTGCTATGAACACTCATATATACACATATATATTTTATATATAATATATTCATATATATATATATGTTTTTGGCTCTCTTAGGTAAGCACCTAGGCATGCGGTTGCTGGATTACATCATAAGGATGTATAAGAAACTGCCAAGATGTCTTCCAAAGTGTTAAACCATTTTGCATTTCACCAGCAGTGTATGATAGTCCCAGTTCTCTGTCCTTGCTTGCCAACACTTAGTAATATCCATCTTGATGGCTAGAGGAGCCAGACATTTTTTCATATGCTTATTGGCCATTTTAACATCTTTTATCATGTCTTCAAATCTATCTTTTAAAGTATGATTATGAGCCAAGCATGGTGGTGCATGGCTGTAACCCCAACACTCAAGAGGCTGAGGCAAGAGGATCACTGGGAATGCAAAGCCAGTTTGGGGTTACAAAGTGAGTTCAAGGCCAGTCTGAACTACACAGTGAAACCCTGTCTCAGAAAAAAAAAAAAAAAATAGGACCAGCCAGATAGCTCAGGGGATTAAAGTGCCTGCTTAGGCAGACTCTAAGACTGGGGTTCGATCCCCAGTGTGCACTGCTGGCCCCACTCCTGGGACATGCTGAGCTGGTGATTGAGACTGGGCATGGTGGCATGTGCCTGTAATCCCAGCACTTGGGAGGCTGAAAACAGGAGAATCACTATGAGTCCGATCTGTGTAGTGAGAACCTGTAGACCCTGTACTAAATACAAAAAACAAAAATTAAATAAAGTATTATATTCTAGAGACTTTGCCACAAAAATTTACCCTAAATCCAAGAGGCACTTATAATTAGTAGAAGATTTTTTCTTTTAACTCATTAGGAATGGGTTTAGGGCCAGCCAAATAGCTCATCAGATAAAAGCACCTGCAAGCAGTCTCAGGGGCTGGGGATTTGATCCCTGGGCCTGCTATGCCAGCCCCACCTCTAGGGAGCATTGAGACAGCAATTGAG